GAATCCTGGGACTTCTAAATAGCCTCATCTCTTCTAACCCAGCAGTATCTGGAACTCACTTGGGTGCAGCCTGTGACTCAATGCCCATGTTACATTTCTACATGGAGCCCTGCACCTCAGCACGATCTGTGTAGAACCATTGTCCCAGGATTGCTATTTATTGTCATGCTCATGTCTACAGATAGGTCTCTACAGACCGAGGCTCTGGGTCTGTAGAAAGGAGTCATTTTTGCTGTAGAGAATAAAGGACCATGTGCAATAATAATAAAAAAAGAAATGTATGGCTCTGGCTGGTCTTACTAATTGGAAGAGGGGTAGCCTGCGGACCAGTGAGTCGCAGTTCAATTCTGGTCAAGGACACATACCTCAGTTGCAGTTCATCACCGACCCTGGTCGGAGTCATGCAGTAAGCAACCAATCGATATGTCCCTCTATGTCGATGTATCTTTCTTTTTCCCTTTCTCTCCCTCCCAATCTATCTGAAGATAAATGGAGAAATGTCCTCGGGTGAGGATTAGTGAAAATTAAAAAAAAATCTTTGGCTGGTTTTGCTCAGCGGTTAGAGCATCGGCCTGCGGTCCAGAGAGACCCTGTTCAGTTCTCGATAAGGGCACATGCCTCAGTTGCGATTTGTCTCAGGCCCAGGATGGGTCGTGCGGGAGGCAGCCATTTGATGTGTCCCTTTCATGTCCACGCCTCTCTCTCTCTCTCTTCCTCCCACTCTATCAGAACAAAATATAAAAATATGTTCTCGAGTGAGGATCAGAAAAATATTTTAAAAAAAGAAATAAAATGTATGCATTACTTAAATAAAATGGTGTCAAAAATTCAAGATAGTTTGTTATCAAACATAAAGACTTCTGGTCAAAGTGGCAGAGTAGATAGATGCAACATTTGGATCCTCTCACACCCGCAGCAAAGTTGCAGCTAAACTACAAGACAACCCTCATTCAGAACTGCCTGAAATCTAGGTGAACGGAGGTCCCAAGGATATAAGGAAGAAGCCACATGACACAGGTAAGAGGAAGGGGGACCTGCAGTAGGCTGAACCCACAAGCACAGGTATCAGGTATCAGGGCTTTTATTTATTTATGTTTAAGGAGTGTGTTCTTTACGTTTCTTAAACAATCCTGGTGTTATGATGACACCACACTGTGTGTGTATGACTGTGATCCAGCATGAAGGGTACATAGATGTGAATCCAAATCAGCTGTGTGGTACGGACCCTCACGTCACAGGGGAGAACAGAGGGCAGTGGAGGAGAGTCAGGGATGACAGGGAGGGGGAGCACCACAGTCCGATGGGGGAGGCGTCCTCCACAGGAACAGGGCACGTGCTCCCCTGCACCCAAACCTCATCTGCACCTCTCCTCCCCTGGACATTCCCAGCAGAGAGTTTCCCAGTTCGGGTCCAGATGCTCATTTCCCACGTTCTGGGATCATCAGATGTGCTCCAAGGCACCCCACTCTGAACGGTGCATTGTTCTCTCTTGTGTTTAAGTCCTGGCTGCATTGTGGATCCTTCCCGGGCTGTTCCGAGCCTGAAATAGCAGCAGCCCCAGGACCAGCAGGACCAATCCAGCCACGCCCATCCGGATGAGATTCTCCACTGTGTAATCTTGGGGGTAGAAAGATAAGAATTGTGGGTAAAGAGGTCAGAGAGGTCAGGGCAGACCCAAATCTCCAGGATTCTGTTGTCAACCCAGGGCTCCCAGTGCCTCTTGATACCTGTGACCCTGTGACGTCTTAATTCACAACCTGATCTGAGTCACGTTGGTAAGAGTTAGTTGAGCCCAAAAGCTCAGACAGAGTGTAAAAATGATGTCAATCCGGAAATGATTAAGAGCTGTGTGTTTTGTGTTCAGTCTGAGTGTCAAGACCCCATAAGCTTGTTTCCCTCCATCTGGGAGATCCCACGTTTTCAACAACCTGGACACAACGTCCACACGGTAGAGTTTGTTGTCAGGGGCTCCTGAAAGTCAGTAGCACAAAGGGGTGAAAGTCAGGTTCAGGGTGTCCTCCACCCCACCCACCCAGATCTCTCCTCTCTGGGGTTCTGCATTTCAATCGTCAATTGAAATTGTTCCTCTATTTATTCATTTATTAATTGATTTTTAATCTAATAACAAATACTTACAATGCTAGATGTATTTACCAGGTGAAAAATATGGATATCTGGATGAATATTTCTTGACACTCTTGTAGATACATAAATGTAGTATTATTATAGTAGTCAATACAGGGTTGGGTAAAAGTAGGTTTACCGTTGTGAGTCCATGAAACACAGAATTTATTCTTGTATTTCCATTTATTAATGTATTAGTCTCTACTAAAAAAACTGTAATCCTACTTTTGCCACACCTTGTCTATGTATAACTAAACGTAGCCATACACACACACACACACAATTCATATAATATATATGCATTATATAGAGTATAGTATAAAATATATACAGTATATTTGTCTGTTTCTCTTACATAAATAGTAAATTATACGTTATTATGTATATCAATATATATTTTTACTCTACCAATATGTAGTGTGTGTGTGTGTGTGTGTGTGTGTGTAGAGAGAGAGAGAGAGACAGACAGGCTGAGAGTTGAAATCAACAGGTGATAAGGAGGCAGGACCCTGATGGTCAAGGCTGGTCTTGAACAAGGAATAAGGTCCTGTCTGTGGGGTGTAGGGAAGGGGCAGAGGGGAAGAGGAGCTCGGAGGTCATGGTTAGTAGAGTTAGTTCAGTAGGACGCCCAGCTGGGGAAAGTGTCATCATCTTCTCTCTAGTTTGGACAAACGTTAGAAAGTCTGGTAAGATTCCTTGGATGGATGGCTAATTATGCAATTTTTATTGCAAAAGACAACCCCAACGTACTGTTTATCAAAGGTCATAACCAAGGAAGTCCACAGCTCTGGTTCAAACATTAAGTAACAGAGTGAATTCCCCAATTAAAATATTTAAAGAGCCTCAAAAGTAGGAAATTATGTCTATCTGTGACCTCACTTTGATACAAAAACCAAGATGTAAAAAAAAAAGTATTGACCTATCCTAATTGCAAATATCCAAGCAAAATATCCAAATATTGGCTCACACATGGATGATAAGCGGTCTTCAGTTGGGTTAATATCCAAAGGGGTGAAACCAGGAAGCCTCTGTAATGTGTGTCAGGTGTGTACACATCCGATTCTGGGATGAAGACCTGAGCAGGTGAGCGGTGGGGGTCTGACTTCTCTGCTCGGTCTGATCACCTTCCTGCTCATTTCCACACACCTCACCCCGCCCTCCCTACCCTTTATCCCTGCTGAGCTTCAGAAAGGGGGGTTCCGGAGTGGGAGACCCTGTTCCTTTCTGCACGCTCAGGGGCTGGATCCTACTTTGTGGAATCTCCTCCAACACTCATGTCTTAGTGTCCCCGACTTTCTTACGGACAGGGCTCTGAGCTGACTGAGCACAGAAAGGTCAGGGTCAGGGTCCCCTCACCTAGACCAGGAGCTGCGGGGGAATCTGAGGTGTGACAGCAGGTAGAGGTGGGTGCTGGGTGAGCCACCCCTCTCCAGTCCAGCCCACACCCACCTCCCACTCTGCAGACTGACACCCCTCCCACCGCAGTGGGGCCTGTGTGCACATGGAGTGTGTGTCTGGGAAGGGCAGGGGGAGGGCTGTGTCCTTCCTGAGCTGTAACCAGGGTCAGGCTGCATGTTGAGGGCACTGTGAGGGGGGTGGCGGGAGTCCTGCTCCACAGCCATGAACCTAGGACTCGGGAGGAACAGATTGTCTGAGATCCCACTGGGGAAGGGGCAGAGCTGGGATTTGAACCGGGGCTGTGGCTTCTTTTCCTGACTTCACTGCAGCTCCTTGAAGGCTTGTGGAGGAGAGCTCAGACACCGTCGGTGTCCCCAGCACAGACGGACATGCACACACGTTTGCACGCACACAACACACTCATGCACACACATGCACACACACGCACACACAGGCATACACACAGTGTCCAAGCATCTTTGGAGACATGGGTTCTCTGAGAAGAAGGAACTGACCTCAGGCCATTACCAGGAAGTGGCTGAGCCAAGACCAAACTGAGCTCCTCCCCCACCCCCTCCCCACAGACACTCACGGAGCCCTCCCTGGGCCTCACTCAGGGGCACCCTTTTTCAGAGCTTCCTGGGATCAAATGGAAGCTGATTGGTGGGGGCTCTTCCCTCTCCCCTTTTCCACACAGCGGATCCTCCCCAGGGTGGGAGCAATGCATGGCCACCCCACCTGTCACCTGCCAGCCTCAGAGTCCTGGAGCCCTGTGGGTCCCCAGTATGTCTGCCAGGCCCCACCCCTGGGAGACCAGCCATGCCCCAGCAGGGGGTCTTGTCCTCTCTGGGGCCCAAGGCCTCTGCTAGTCCCCACTCTTGTCTTGGTCTCTCAGGGTGTGGACACAGGACTGGAGACGGAAGGGGGTCGGGATGGGTTTCTCTGACCTTTTCCCTTTTTGGTCAGTCTGAGTCTCTCCAGCCTCCCTCTGGCCCCTGGGAACATGTCTGGGCCTCAGGGATGTGGGTGACGATGAGGCAGGGGTGTGACTTGCTCTGGCTTTTTCTTTCTTTTTTTTTTTTATCCTCACCCGAGGATATTTTTTTTTCCATTTTTTTTGTTCAGATAGAGCGGGAGGGAGAGAGAGGAAGGCAGAGAGAGAGAGAAACATCGACGTGAAGGGACACATCGAGTGGCTGCCACCCGCACGACCAACCAGGGCCGGGGACAAACTGCAACCGAAGTACGTGCCCTTAGCGGGAACCGAACCCGGGTCTCTCCGGACCGCAGGCCGACGCTCTAACCGCTGAGCCAAACTGGCCAGGGCTGCTCTGGCTTTTCCCATCCCTCTGGGAGGTGAGGTCCTCTCTGGCTGCCCCTCCTGTGACCCCCTCACTGCTATTCCAGCCCATGGTGGCCTGGAAACTGGGTCCAGAACTGACCATGAGGACACAGGGGGCAGGGCTGGGGGTCCTCACCTGAGACCAGGAGCTCCAGGGGGTCGCTGGGGTGTGACAGCAGGTAGGGGGAGGCACTGTGTGAACCATAGCACCTGTAGGTGCCCCTGTGGGCTGAGGTCACAGGACTGATGGTGAAGTTGGCCTGAGAGGGTGCAGTCGTCTTCTGCACAGGAAGGTGCTGGGGGGGATCCAGAGACCCCTCCCTGTGCAGGTGGAAAGTGTCAAACCAGATCTCAGATCCACACTGCAGGGTCACGTTCGCTCCCCAGGGTACTGAGGGGCCCGGCAGGATGGAGAGGGAGGGTTTCGTGTGCATTCCTGGGGAGGGAAGGTGTGATGTGTAGAGAGCTGCCCCCTCCCATATACCCTTGACCCTGAGCTGAGGGACCATGTCCTTCCCCAGGGACGCTGTCTGTGATCCTTCTCAGCTCCTCTCAGTGCCCCCGGGGAGGTGTCTCTATGTCTGAGCCCCTCACTCCGCCTTTGTCACTCCCTCCCTCTGCACCTCTGCCCCTTCTCAGCCTCTGCCCAGGACCCTCTCCTGCCCCCAGCACCACCAGGGGACCCTGTCCCCAGCTCCCTGAGCAGACACTCAGGACAGCGCCAGGGCTGGGCTCCTCACCTGTGACCAGGATGTCCAGGGGGGCGCTGGGTGCTGACCACGCATAGGAGAGGCTGTGTCCACTGTAGCATCTGTACCGGCCCCCGTGGGTGTGGTCCACACGGCCCAGCAGGAAGTCGGGGCTGTGCTGCCCATCAAGGCGCTGGGGGGTGTGAGCCCCTGGTCCTTGGTCAGAGCGAATCTGTCAAAGCCAGCCTCCGAGCCACACTGCAGGGTCAGGCTGTCTCCAGGCAGCACCAGGGAGCCCGGCTGGGCCGAGAGGGAGGGCTCCCTGTGCACACCTGGGAGAAGGGGACGTGGCATCAGGGGGCACACACCCCATTGCCCACTGGGGCTGCAGGAAGAGTCCTCTCCTGTCCCATCCTAACCTCCCGCCTGAGGTTCTGTCCCCCAGAGGCCAGTGTCACTGACCCCCGGGCCCCAGGGCTCCACTGGGAACAAGCCTAGGTCAGTCATTTTGGGTTCAGGAAACACATGGGTTTGCACAGTGTTTCCACTCACCTGTGACCTCGAGACGCAGAGGGTCACTGGAGTGTGACCACAGATTGGGGTAGGATCTGGGGGAACCATAGCATCTGTAGGTCCCCCCGTGGGAGGAGTTCACGGGGCCCACAGGGAAGGTGGCCCGGGCATAGGTCCGCCCAGCACTGGACTTCGATTGCGGTTCCATGTGTCGGGGCGGGTCAGCTCCTCCCTCCTTCAGCAGATGGAAAGTGCCCGATGTGTCCTGTGAGCGACACACGAGGGACACGCTCCCTCCTGAGGCCACCACAGGGCTTGGCTGGGCTGAGAGGGAGGGTGCTCTCTCCACTCCTGAGGGAGAAGGGCGATCTGTGTTAAAGGGACCATCACCCACATGTTCCCAGTGTGGACTGTGGGGTGAGGTCCCCATGAGCCCCCATTTTATTTCCTGAGTGTGAGGGAAGCCACAGTGGGGAGGGCACCCGGGTTCCGCTTACCTGTCACCACCAGGAGCAGGGGGTCACTCCGCTCTGAGAGTTTGCGCTCAGTGGTGTAATACGCACACTCGTAGGGCCCTGCATGCTGTGAGCTGGAGGATTCAATGAGGAAACCGGTCTTGTTGCTGAAGTTCTGTGGGGTCTTCGTATCCCAGGGCTCAGAGCCCCTCTCTTTATATAGAACGTAGGCAGTAGCCTGCAGAGATGCTTGACACCAGATGGTCACAGGGCTCCCCGTGGTGACCAAGGGGCCAGGATCCACCCAGATGGAGGGTTTGGGGACACCTTCTGGAAAGGAATCAGTTCCAATATATCAGGGGAGCTCTTCTCTCCCTTATGATGTCATGAATAAGCCTATGATGTCATTTAATGAGCACCCACTATGTGAGGCACCTGCTGGGGTCTGTCATTCATCCCTCTCCCCTCACACAGTCATGCACCAGGGACGGTGCCCCACCACCCAGGTCAAGGGGCTCAGAGGGGTCAGTCACCTTCCCCAGGTCACCCAGCCTGGACGGTGCAGGGCGGGGACTGGAACCCGGGACTGTGGGTGCCCTGTGCTCTCCTCATGCTGCCCCAGAGGTGACCCGGCCCGCAGGTCGATCAACGAGGACTCTAGAGGGAGATTGAGGATGAGGTGGGACAAGAGACACGAGAAATGGAGACAAGACAGGATTCTGATCAAGTCTCGTTTATTCAGGGGGAGTTCACGCAATATATAGGGGGGAAAACACGTGAAACAGCCAATGAGCATCCCACCCGAAGCCAACCCCAGCAAACACCCCAGGTGGAACAAATAAGCAAAGAACAGAGCAAACAATTATCTAGAGGAATGCAGGCACGGCACGCGGAGGGGCACGGCACGCGGAGAGGCACGGCACGCGGAGGGGCACGGCACGCGGAGGGGCACGGCACGCGGAGGGGCACGGCACGCGGAGGGGCACGGCACGCGGAGGGGCACGGCACGCGGAGGGGCACGGCACGCGGAGGGGCACGGCACGCGGAGGGGCACGGCACGCGGAGGGGCACGGCCCTGGGGCCGGAGACAGCAGAGCAGACTTTAACAAGATGGATACCATGCAAATGGTCTCCCACAGGTCCCCCTTTTTTATTAAATTTTAAGGCCGAAATAATACCTTGAGGGGACTGTGCCTGTCTTAGGTCAGGAATCTTGCACACGGTTCCAACCTGTCCGAACCCGTCATTGGAATAGCAAGGCAGCATAAGGCCTTGTTCCTGTCTTAGGTGGTGGTTGGTGACACGTGTGAGTTCCAGTTGCCCGTCTCTGGCTATCCAGTCCAGCTCACCAAGGTGACGAGGTTTTTAAGACTATTTGCCATCTCGGGCATAGTCATAGCTTATTGACTCACAGCTAGAGTGAGCTTCTCTGTCGGCCATTTCAAGTTTATGATAGTGGACCTGTATAGATTGCATCTTAATGGCATCCATCTGCTGCTTGAAAGCCATCACCTCATTGAAGAGGAAAGGTCCTAGTGACACAATCAGTAAAAGGCCAAGTAAGGGGCCCAACAGAGGGAGAAGATAAGGCAGCACCCCATTTAGCCCGCTCCAAAGGGGGTTATCGAAAAGTTCTTTTAAGCAGCAGCGTTCCTGCAAGGCAGTTGCATGGGGGGCCAAATAGGGCCCTCAGGAGCTCGTCAGGGTTTGGAGGAGGCCCAAAACCTCTTTTCATAAGCGGGCAAAGATGCAGTAGTTTTCCTAGCAGTAAGATTTCAGCCTTCCAGTCCATTCCTGAAATAAAAAAAAAAAACAGGAAAAGCCTCTCAGGGCGAATTTTCGTCCCTGGAGTTATCTATATGGTTATCTGCTATTCCTTTAACTTGATCAATCTGTTTAACCAGACGCTCTGGTAGCCATCTGGCAGATTTCATTTTCTTAGAGTAAATGCATACAGAACCTCGGCCCCAGATGAGGACTGGGTCTGGGCCATGCCAAGAGCTGGTTAGCGGATCTTTCCAAGAATTGTCTAACTGTATGCCCTTTCAAGGCGGCAGCCATGGCAAGGCCCTGTTGATAGGCAGCCCCAATATCAGAGCATAGGCGAATATAGCCAGTTAAATCAGTCTTTTTCTTATAAGGTCTAATAGCGGCTTGACAGGCGGCATTAGCGTTTTCAAAAGCCAATTGTTTAACAAAATCCGTGCCGGCGTCTGCATTACCGAAAATTCTGCCTGCTGCAGTAATTAAGCGGTGAACAAAATCTGCAAAAGCCTCATCAGGTCCTTGTTTAATGTTAGTAAGGGAGGAGCTCATGTCGCCCTTGGTGGGCAGCTTCCTCCATGCTCTAGTGCCTGCTGTCTGAACTTGCGCAAAAAGACCTGCATCATATTGCATTTGGGCATCACTATTAGCATGATTTCCTTCTCCTATTAGCATATCCAAATTCCATCCATTACCAACCTGTACGTTGCGTTTAGCAATGTCCCTACAGTTCTCTACATATTCTGATTTCCATAGGAGATAGTCTCCTCCAGCAAGTGTCGCTCGGGCTAACTTCTGCCAATCCCCAGGCGTAAGCCAATTCTCGGCTACTGATTCTAAAATTGCCATAGTATACGGGGCTGTGGCTCCGTATTGTGCTACAGCGGTCTTTAACTCCTTTATTTATTTAAAATCAAACCCGCTATGGTGGCGCCAAGGCTGTCCTTGTGCGTCCACTGTTTCTGTTACTGGAAAAGCCTCTATATCATCTAGCTCCTGTGCAAGTTGCAAGTGGGGAGGGATCTTTGGGACGGCTCCCCTCATGGGTGGTTTTTGATTCCCAAGGGTTTCTGGTTTTACTTCACTCTCCCTTTTAGATTTTCCTATTTTTAGTCCTTCTAATTGGGCTATGAGATCTTGGTGCTCTTTTTCCAGTTTTATTTGTTCTTTGAGGTGTTCAATTTTATCTCTAAGTTCTTTTCTAGGGTCAAGAACTGGACATGCCAGCGGGGGAGCACTGGGATTATTATTATAAGGCGGAGGGCGTTGAGAAACAGGCGGACAATCAGAGTTACGATATCTGGCCGCTTCATCCGCCAATTCATCCCAATCAACCTCCCCTCCGTCAGGAACAGTCTCCAAATATTCGGATAGTTCGGGATAAATTTTTGTCTTGGATTTGATTATTTCCTCTGGGGCAACACTAGTTTTTGTTCTTTTGATTTCTCCACCCTCTCTGTTAGTTTTTCTTGTCTCCCCATATGAGAGCCCTTAGGCATAATTTTATTCCAAGTGGGCTCGGTTTCTTCTTCCTCATTATCACCATCGAATGACATGAAGTCCTCACATTCTTTACTTTCATTTTAATTCCCCTTTTTTTCTTTCTGTAATATACCCTCGCCATTTTCTACTACATTGGCAACGAGAGGATCAGAATGTCTCTGAGATAAAACCTCATCTATTAAATACCAATAAGAAAAAGCAGTTACCGGGACCTTCTCGGGTCCATAAGTCTTATAATAATCTCTAAGAGCGTCACCAACTATTTTCCACTGTTTTTGATCTATAGATCCCTCTGTAGGAAACCAAGGACAAACTTTCTTAACATAATCAAAATACTGACATAAATGCTTGATTTTCACCTTTACTCCTCGTGCCTTTATAGCCTTTCCTAGTCCTTCAACGAATGTCTTATCTTGGCTCAGTGCTTGACCCAGAATCGCCGTTCACTTACCCGAGGGGTGCAGACGCAGCAGGTTCCCACGTCGTTCCCTCTTTTCTTTTCCTTTCTGCCGGCCACTCGAACGGCGTCCTTCACTGGATCCCCCGTGCTCGAGCCCCACGTTGGGCGCCACTTACGAGGACTCTAGATGGGGAGTGAGGATGAGGTGGGACAAGAGACACGAGAAATGGAGACAAGACAGGATTCTGATCAAGTCTCGTTTATTCAGGGGGAGTTCACGCAATATATAGGGGGGAAAACACGTGAAACAGCCAATGAGCATCCCACCTGAAGCCAACCCCAGCAAACACCCCAGGTGGAACAAATGATAAGCAAAGAACGGAGCAAACAATTATCTAGAGGAATGCAGGCCCGGCACGTGGAGAGGCCCGGCCCGCGGAGAGGCCCGGCCCGCGGAGAGGCACGGCCCGCGGAGAGGCACGGCCCTGGGGCCGGAGACAGCAGAGCAGACTTTAACAAGATGGATACCATGCAAATGGTCTCCCACACAGAGGGACCTCAGCTTCGTGCTCTGGGCTCCTCATCTGCAGGGGCCTGTCCATGTCTCATGTGAGCTGAGGGTCCTTCCTTATTCCCCACTCTCAGCACAGCAGAGACACGGGAAGAGCAGGGGTGTGGGGTGGCCTCTTTGTCTCCCCTGGATCCATCTCCACCCTGCAGAGGCCCCCTAGGAAGGTCGGGTGGGCTGTGCCTCTGCCTTCCTGAGCTCTGTGGGGCCCCTTATGTCACCTTATCTGACAGCAGCCTGTGAGCAGGAGGGGACCCGGGATGGAGAGACATGACCCAACACTCAGGGAAGAGAAGGGACCACCTGACCCCACAGCAGGAGCAGCAGAGCTGGGAACTGAACCAGGTCTGACTCCAGCCCTCTCTCCTCTGAGCTGAGCCTGGGCTGAGTGAAAGGACCTGGATGCCCCAGCCCCTTGTCCTGCCTGCCCCTCCCTGTGCATGTCACCATCACTGCTACAGAGGGGACGGTCCCCACACCACGTCCTGGGTGTTCCTGTGAGGCCCCCTCCCCCAGGAGGTCAGAGCCAGAACTGAACGGAAATCTAAGCTCTGGGCCATGAATCTGTCCTTTTACACTTGGGGACCCTGTGGCCCAGGCAGGGGAAGGGAGCATCCAAGTCAGTGTCTGCAGAGGGGCCTGAACCCCTCATGACTCAGCCCCTGTCCTTCATGAACACCCCCACCACCTCCCCACAGAGACCGTCAGTTACCCCGCTGTAGGCCTGACTCCGTGTGGGGAAGGGACCCATCCTCAGCTCCTCCTGGGATCAGGATTGGTGGTGGTGGGGGGTCTGTCTTGTCCTCACTTGAGCCTGGGTCCTCCTCCCCCATCCCGGGCCCCAACATCTCCCTGGGCCATCACCACCCCAACTGTCACTTGCTTCACTTAACCCTCTACAGGCCTATCCATTGTGGGGTGAATCCTCAGAGCCCTGAACCCCCTGGATTCACCAACAATGTATCCCCTGCTCCCAGCCCCTGGGACACAGTCTGTCCTTAATGTCTGGGGCATGAGACCCTCTGAGGGAATCAGAAGCATCCGGGGTGATCTGTGCTCCCTCTGAGCAAACACGCTCCATGACTCACCAGCTGTGGAGATGGGCCCTGTGGGTGGGGGGCTGGGGGAACAGAGGGTCCTGGAAGAGGATAGAAGAGGGTGAGAGTCTGGGGCTGACCCTGGAGACCGCACCTCACTCAGACTCCTCCTCCACCTGCCCGGAGCACCCTAGAGCCCCTCCCATGGCCCACGTGGCATCTTCTCCACCGAGGTGAGCGGAAGGGGTACCCGTGGGTAGGAGGGTCTCTGAGGGGCAGATGTCTTCTGGGTGTCCATCCCTACAGACCTCCCTCCCTCTCTTTCAGCTCATCGTTCTTCTGGGGACAGGACCCTGAGCAGACAGCACTGAAGGACAGGCCAGGGGCCCCTCACCTGAGACCCGCAGCTCCAAGGCTCACTGGGCGGTGACAGCAGGTAGGGGGCAGTGCTGAGTGAGCTGTAGCACCTGTAGGTGCCCCCGTGGGTGGAGGTCACAGGACTCATGGAGAACTCTGCCTGGTACTGCTGAGCTTGGTGCTCTGATGGAAGACGCGGGGGGGATCGGCTGCCCCCTCCTTGGACAGAAGAAAAGTGTTCGTCGGGTACTTTGACTGACACAGCAGGGTCACGTTCCCTCCTGAGGTCACGACAGGGCTGGGCAGGGCTGAGAGGCTGGGTTTGCTGTAGGATCCTAGGAGGGGAGGAGACAGCATGTTAAATGGGGTCACACCTCCCTCGTGGGCTGGGATGTGAGAGGGCAGAGGTCCTGAGAGCAGCCCCTTCCTGAGGGCAGAGCCTGAAGCTGGGACCCTGAGTGTCCCCTCACCTGTCACCACCAGCTCCAGGGGGTCACTGTGCTCTGACTCGCCAGAGGGGCTGCGATAGTAACAGCGATATCTCCCTGCATCATGGTCTGTCGTCCGTGTGATGGAGAACGTGGCCTTGTCTCCGGGGTTCGGTGGCTTCTGTGTTTTCCATGGAGGTGTGTTTCCCTCTTTATCCAGACGGTACTGCTCATCCCCCAGAGTCCCCTGACATGTGATGTTCACGGGGCTCCCCAGGGGGATCAGAGATCCTGGCTCAGCCTGCAGGGTAGGTTTGGGGAGGGTCCCTGGAAGGAATCAGAGGCTGGGTCCTAAGACATTCCCACCCCAGTCCCCAGCTCCCCGTCCCCGATGTCCCTCGACTGTCAGACAGGTCTGCTCTCCTCCTTCCCCATCTCCCTGGGGGTGTCCTTGTGTCCAGAGGGAGTGAGACCTGGGAGACCTGGGGACAGACTCACCTGCCTGCACTCTGGTCCTCAGGCCCACACTCAGCCCTGGAAGAGAGTCCCTGTGAGAAGTTCGCCCTGACCCCTGACAAGAACCCTCCTTCCTGTGAGCCTGCTGAGTTTCAGGAACTTCTGACAGAGCAGGGCTTCCCCTCCCCCCATCGCATCTCACCCAGGCAGAGGAGGGCGGTGAGTGTGGGGGTCATGACGTCCTGTCCCTCTGGGGTCAGCTGAGCAGATGGAAGGGACCACGGTGCCAGAAAGATGGACAGACAGACATGCAGGACGGAGAGAGAGACAACAGGCGGTGGTCCCTTGGAGTCCGAGCCTGCTGGTCACCAGGATGTCACATCTGCAGCCTATAGGGGAGCCTCTTTCTAGCAGCCTGACTCACTTTCATCACGAAGCAGGTAACAGGTGAGGTGACCCAGGGCACATCCTTCCCTGTCAGAGCCTCCCCGTGGGGTCTCCATCATCCTCAGCCCATCTGTCAGCACCTCCCTGGGGTCCTCACCTTGGACGTTGTCAGGTCCTGGAGATGCTTCAGGAAGACGTGGGTTCCCGTGGGGCTTAGATCAGCAGAGACACGTTCACCCTGTAACTGAGCAGGGCAGGCGCGTGTCCCTGTGACAATGATCAAAGAGGAGAAATGCAGGGAAATGAGGGAAAGAAACACATCCCCCTGTGGCCCCAGAGTTTGGGCTTCCTATCTCATGTTTTCATGAACTTCTCCTTTTCCTTAGCGACAGCCTCCAGCCCCTCCTCCCTGGGAACCAGCCTCTGGGTCCTGATCCTCCTCAGTGCCCCTGCTCCTTAGGCAGAACTGTCCCCAGTTTCATGGCTTTTTCCTAAAAATTAAGGTTCAGTGATTTGGTCTGGAGCTTTGATTGTCGAGGGAAATTCATCTTTATTTAAATATATGTGTACCACCTCCTGCCTGTGTGAACTGAGCAGTAATATCTCCATTGGATGTCCCCTCGTCTTTATTATTATTGTTATTATTATTTACAAGAGAACACATTCACCATTATTTATTTACTTTTCGATATGTTTCAGTCTTCTGGGGGGTACGTATTACACAGATTCTGTGTGTAATGGCTTTAGCAGGAAGGGACAGATGGACCCCAGGGTGTGGTCACTCAAGGGCTGGCCCTCGCTGTCTCTGGGTTATCATGTCACCAGCCCCTGGGGAAGGGGAACCTTCCATCCCCAGAAGCCTAGCACCTGTTCCTGGTGGATCAGGAAGTAGATTGGAGCCTCCTGAGATGCCCCTTGCAGGTGAGGGGACCCAGGGCACATCCTTCCCTATCAGAGCCTCCCACGTGGGGTCCTCCTTTATCTTCACGTCATCCATCAGCATCTCCCTGTGGGGCCCTCACCATGGACAGTGGTCACCGGGTCTTGGAGATGCTTCAGGAAGACGTGGGTTCCTGTGGTCTGCAGAGCTCTGATCCACAGAGACACGCTCACCATCAACTGTGCCGTTCGGGTGAGTATCACTGTGACAATGAGCACAGAGGAGAAATGCAGGGAAAGGAGACAAGAAAAATGGGTTCTTCTCCTGGCCCCAGAGTGTGGGTCCTCTTTCTCTCTCAGCCCCTGGTGAGCTTCCCCTTCTGACCACAGCACCCATCTGATCAGCGTGGGAAGAAGCCTGTGAGTCATTCCTGCCCCTCAGCACCCTTGCCCCTTGGGAAGATCTCTTCCTCCTTATCCTGTGACCTTGTCTTCAAGTTTAGTGGACAGTACGTGTGTCATTGCTCTGATTTGGGGAATAAAACATGCTTATGGAATGGTTCCTCCGTGGCCCATTTCTGGTGACCTTAAGCATCAACGTGCAGGTTGTCAGGAACCCAGGGCCTGAGAGTGGTTGTGGAGTCCTCGCCCCCGGGACATGGAGGGAGCCGTCCTTGTTCATTTCCACACCTGCCTAAGGCACGTGAGGTGAGGCATGAGAGGTGTTCTTGAAAATCCACACAACATGGACGATGCTAGACCCACTTAGGAACCTTCACCTGCTCCTCGTCTGAGAAAGGCTCTGTACAGTATTTCTGAAATATGCGTTCATGCTCAAAGCACAACAAGGAAGTGAAATTCCCCCGAATGGAGAGAGAACATGTACAGACGGGGAGGTCAGAGTTGAGTGGCCACTGGTACCTGGGCATAGCGAAGATCATCAGTGTGGAGTTTTCTCTGTCTGTGGGGACAGAAGAGGGACCCTGATGTCATCACAGGCAGGGAGGGGATCAGGAGCAGGAAGTTATAGAACTGACTATTGCACCTTAAAAATCTGAGATTCAGAAGCATGAAGAGTTCTCCTGTCCTAGATCAACTGTATAATATACTTCTTGAACACAAAGGAGATTTTCAGTGTGTGTCAGAACTACCTGTGGGCATGGGAACATAAAAGGTTGGAGATTCCTGCAAATGTGCAGTTGTAGTGAAGACACGATGCTATGGAAGGCTGTGCACAGAGTCACAGTGGGAGTCATTATGTCCAAGAAAACAGACCTCTAGAAACACGTGGAAGTCATTTTAATGGAAGAACATTCAAATGTCTGATAACATAAGAAAATTTGAATTCTTGCACAACAACAATCGGGGTTATATGAAAAAAGAACGTGACATTTTAGTAATGAATTGTGCAAATATCTTAGGGGTAAAAATGCCCCAAACGAAAATAATTTGATTTAGCACACTCAAAATATTCTTTCCATCAGGGAGCAGATACAGATGAAGATACAATTATGAAATTGGAAGTCAACATTGGGGAGATTTTGTAGACTGCAATACAGAGAGACTGGAATGAGAAAGTTAAGACCCAGGGGAATAGAGAGAGAGAGGCCAAAGGGTAGTGTGAGATTCAGGAGGAAAGCAGTGAGGATGACGTCTGCTACAGTCCTAGAGGCCAATGGTTGGGTATTTTACAGAGAAGTGTAGGGAACATGCAGGGCCAGAGAAGTGTAGGGAACATGCAGGGCCAGGGTGCATGAATGTAAACATGAAATGTGTGTCTTGATATTCATGACAAGAGGTGAAAATTGATGGGAAGTCACATTCAAGCAGAAATATAATGTCAAAAGTTAAGGGGGAAGTCCATTCAAATACGGAATTGTAAATGAAGAATTCTAGACTCATCCACATTTTTATTAAAAGGCCATAGTGAAAGAGTCTGAGGGAAGTCTGTTAGAATGAGAAGATGGGGGCCCATCTGACATCCAGAAACTCATGTCTCATGTGTGAAATTCACACACCAGGTTCCATCTTCAGGACAATGAGGAGGGTTTTGGTGGTCGATCCTTAGCTTCAGAGAATTTCTACTTCTTTGTATTGGAATTATATCGTCTATTAGATATAAGAAAAATTTCCAGTATCTAATTGGAAATAAATCATTTGCAGACATACATGGTCTCAAATATTTTATTGTTTACACACTCACTAAAAGCACACGAAAATAGTAATTAACCCAACAATATTATAGACAAAAATAGAGACAGTGAGTTGCAAAAGTGAGAAAAGTAACGGCAAAACAAATAAGCTTAGGAAAAGTATATTTGTGCATATATTCACATATACATTTAAATTCAAGGAAGGTTAGAAAATATTTGGTGCGAGTGTATGTATGTGTGAGTCCCATAAACACAGAGATTTTCAAATTAGGCCCAAGGAGTTCAGCTAATGTGTAATGACCTTTTCTTACCTAAAAAAGATAATATAAAATGGTTCAGAATTTTAAATATAAATACCAATACTAACAATGTTGTTACTGTACTACGCAAATTTGAAATGAATATATAACCTCCAAATTGTTTGATGAAATTATATTAAACAAATAAATCTCAATCAGTTCGAAGCAGGCTGGAAAATTTAAAAGAAACTATTTGTTTTTATTTTTTATTAATTTATGTTTGTTTCGAATGTTTCTCCCTTTTTTCCCCATTGACACCCTCCTCGCCAGCCCCCACCCCCACCCCATACCCGGCTTTGTTGTCTGTGTCCATCGGTTCTGCGTACATGCATATAAGTTCTGTGGTTTATCTCTTCCCTCCCCCCACCACCCCTTCTTCTGAGGGTTGTCAGTCTGTACCCTACTTCCATGTCTCTGGGTCTACCCAATTCCTCAGACTGTTATGTTCATTATATTCCATAAATAAGTGAGATCATGTGATACTTGTCTTTCTCTGTTTGGCTTGTTTCGCTTAGGAGAATACTTTCCAGGTCCCTCCATATCATCTCAAAGGATAATAGATTTTTCTTTCTTACAGCTGCATAGTACTCCATTGTGTACATGTACCACGGCTTTTTTATCCATTTGTCTACTGATGGACACCTGGGCTGTTTCCAGATCTTAGCAATTGTAAATAGTGCTGCTACAAACATGGGGGTACATATATTCTTTCTGATTGGTGTTTCAGGCACCCCTGCATCCCATCAACGTGGGAAGAAGCTTGTGAGTCATTCCTGCTCCTCAGCATCCTTGCCCCTTGGGAAGGTCTCTCCTCCTTGTCCTGTGACCTTGTCTTCAGGTTTAGTGGACAGTACGTGTGTCATTGCTCTGATTTGGGGAATAAAACATGCTTATTGATTGATTCCTCCGTGGCCCATTTCTTGTGTGACCTTAAGCCCCTTGCAGGTGAGAACTGCCCCTTGCAACGTGCAGTTTCTTGAGTCTCTGTGTCCCCACCTGCAGCAGGTTGTCAGTAACCCAGGGCCTTAGAGTGGTTTTGGAGTCCTTGCCCCCGGGGACATGGAGGGAGCCGTCCTTGTTCATTTCCACACCTGCCTAAGACGTGAGGTGAGACATGAGAGGTGTTGTTGAAAATCCACAAAACATGGGATGATTGCTAGACCCACTTAGGAACCCTCACCTGCTCCTCGTCTGAGAAAGGCTCTGTACAGTCTTTCTGAAATAGGTGTGGGGGGCTCGGCGCGGTTATGCCCGCGGTTTCACAGCGTTGACCCTGCGCGACCCTCCACCGCCACTTTAGGCGGTAGAGTTGGGCCTTGCGGGTGGCGGGACGCCGGGAGGGACTGCCACTGGCGCACACCGGCTGCACCATGGTCCAGCTCCCTGCTCTGCTCCACAAGGCCTACCGTGGAGGCCGCTTAACCATCCTTCTTTCCCTGGGTAGTTGCACCAACCGGCCTTTCTACCACATCGTGGCGGCTCCCAACAAGTATCCCAGCGATGGCCGTTCTGTGGAGCAGCGAGGCTCCTATGATCCACTGCTCAACAGTCATGGAGAGAAGCTCGTTGCTCTCAACTTGGACCGGATCCGGCACTGGATCGGCTGTGGGGTCCTTCTCTCCAAACTTG